TATTAAATAGGAAACATAGTCTTCCCATATTTTGGAAATAAATAGTATAATATTGTTTCTTAATACATTTATGGTTTCATGTTGTTTATTGCTTAATGTGATTATGGAATTGAGGCTTACTATATTTAATTGATTTTTAAATAAAGTAACGTAACAATCATTCGTAATTATTATCATTGTAAAATATTTATTTCCAAAGAATATGTTGTTATTTTTATGGATTAAATATGGCCTAGCAACGTATGATTTAAATAAGCATGAAATTTTATTCGTATTTAATCACCTTGAAAACACTGAATGTGTGAAACTTTATGAATTAATAACTAATTTGACGAGATGGACGGATATTGAATGCTTAAAAAATTTACAAAATTGGTATTTTATGCCATTGTTACACATATATGGACATTTAAATTTTAGGAATAAAAATAGCAAAAATGAGTCATTTTACGTATTGTATGATAATTTAATAAAAATAGGAAGAAAGGATATAGCTACTAAATTATCGGAGTATGTATTTCACGAAAAGGCATACAATGTAGAAAAATATTTATTTCATGAATTCGAGGCACAAGTGTCCACAACGAATAGTATAAACAAATATTTAGTATATTATAATCTTTAAAATATACTTAGGTGTTAGTGAAGAAATGATTACAATATCCCTATCCGAATACTATAAAAAAGATTTAGTTTCACACCCGTTTAAGAACATACTTGAAGAGTCCGCCTCAATTTTTATTGCATTTAACATTTTGGTAGTTGTCATTATTATAATGGCATTATGCTTTTCCAAAAAATATTAATAAAATTATTCCAAATTAAAAAATTGTTTTTTTTAAATATATTTTTTATGCGATAGCCTATTTTATTTTAATTTAATTTTATGGGCTTTTATATTTATTTTTATCTGTAAGGCTAATATTTTTTAATTATTTATAGGTTAACTTATGAACTCTTGACTTTAAAAAAATTACTAAATTTCCTAGAAGCTGATAGGGAATGATTATGCAATTAATGGCATATAAATTCTTTTTTCTTCTTCTAATAATATAACTATGGATAAAATATATATACATTTATTTAAAATTATATAATTTTTTAAGTTTAAATAAATTAATTTAAATTTCTAAAGCCGAATTTGAATTAGAAACCCACTTAAATTCTTCTTTTTTTAAAATTGTGAATGTAATTTTTCATCGGTCTACAAAGGAAATATTAATATTTTTGGGGGATGTCTCATTTATTATCAGATTTTGGAACTTGCATGAAAAATGGCTCTGATTTCGATTCAGAATATTTACAAAAAAAGTAGTTATGGTTCCTAAAATTGTGAAGTAAGTTATTGTGCCTAAATTTTACGCGATTCCGAGGATTCCATATTTTGGTTTCAAATTCTGTTAAAGCAATCAAAAAAATCCCAAAAATATAAATAAACCTAAAATAAAGCACACATCATTTTAAACAATATATGTAAATTACCACTTCGTTAGAACCCTGGAAATTTTAGAAAACATTTTGGTTCCTTATAAAATAATCCTGATGCCGGTTTCTAAAGGGCTCTGGTCAAAAGTATTATTATAAAACATCAATTTCATCTAATTGTAATAAACCAGAAGTTTTATTCAAAAATATGTTTAAGCGACATGAGTATATTCCAAGTATGAATTTAGCGAACCCCAGTTCAATTTTTCTGGTATAATACACTTATAAGTGTTACAACATTTAAGAGCGAACATCCGATGTTATAACGAGCTTAGCGGTATATTTCAGGATAGCCTTTTTGAATATGAATGATTAGTCTGCCTTTGAGATAAAAAATAATATGTTGGAAGGGTATACTTTAAATTACCCTTAAATTTAATTATTCTTTTAAATAAAATTTAGATTCCTCTTAGATGCTTAATTTAATGTACATTATATATTCGTTTCAGAACCTTAGAAAATAATAAACTAGATTAATAAAATAAAATACTATTTTCTTAGCAATCAATTCTTTTTAAAAAAAATTCCCCTAGTTTTTATAATTTTCCCATTTCCTTGAATAATAATACCTTTTCCTCTAATTGGAATTTTTTAGGAAAGGACATATAAAAATTAAAGGGCCTTCAATAAATTTTGAAATATTTTTACCTTTTTTTATTATTTAGATGAAATTAACTTTTTAAACAAAAATTATTCGGTTTTAAAAAATATGAAAAGTTTGGATAAAGATAAATAAATGTGATCTCTTGCTTATTAAGGTAAGCCTTAATTATTTTAAATTATTAATGCCGTATAAAAGTGTTCTTAGGGTAATGGAAATTGTAATATAGAAATCTATATACACATTTTAAGCTAAATTTTTGTTATAGTCGCGTACAGGTGAAAGAAAATAATATATTATTTAAAAAAGGATTACCATAGTTAAATACTTTAGGAAAATAATATATAGTGCCTACCCTAGTCACCCCTATTACCATTTTGGCAAAAACATATTTTCTATTTTATTTTTATTTAGTCGATCATTTATATTTGAGTATCCTGAAAGTATCCTTAGTCTTAAATTTCTAATATTTGCCTTGGTAGTGTTTTCTCCAGGTCGATAAAGATGGTGGCCAAATAGTATTAATTGCCATGACATAATATATTGATCATTTAGATTGTAGTGTTAAGATATTAAAACTAATATTCATTCGAATATGGGCAGAAAAGATGGCGTAACTTTGTAATTATTAAATATTGCACAATATTTCAATTAATTTATATATATAATATTTGTTACAGATAACTAACGATTCATTTGTAATTCTTATATTTATGCCCAGTGTTAAATATGTTTTTTTGTAGAACATGGTAAATGTTCCTTTTATTTTGGACAAAATTTGAAATTAAACATATTACTTTTTCTGATGAACTAGTTGGGTTTTTCACTTTTTCATAACAATATTAAATTGTTTATTTTATTTTCATTTAATAAATGATTATATTTATTTAATAAGGGTTATAAAATAATTTAAATGATAAAAATAATTAAGCTTCAACTGTAATGCTTGATTGATATTTGAATATTATAATACTTTTTATTTATCCTATTATATGTCATATATATTATCTATTTAATTTCGAATTTCAAAAACAAATAGCTAAAATGTAATATACATATAAATAATATAAAATTAGTATAGCTATGAGTGATATTGATATTCTATTTTTAACATAGAATTTGATTGCAATTGTTAACACAATAAAACTATAATTTAGTTAATAATCTAATGAATAGTACTCGTTTTATAAAAATTTATATAATCTTATTAATTTTTTAAAAAACATAATAGAATTCTAAAAAAAATTGCCCAATAGGCTATCAAAAAAGGTATATTAGGGGACCATAAAATAAAATTCGTTCAGGGGGCTATTCAAATTTTTGAAGGAGCTGGGGGATCGAGCCTCTGCATGCATCCACAAATAACTCTACTAATTTTTATTGTGACCAATTCAATTTTAATTCTTCAAAAAATAAATATCACCGCATTTTCCTATTTAGACACTAAAGGCAACATGCAATTGGGTTACTTGAAGTATCTATAAAAATTCTTCAAATTAAAAAAAAAATAGATGTTTAACATATTGCCAACTACTAATAGATGCGTAATAAAATGAATTTATAGTCAACTTATTATAATCAAATAAGTTATACATATATTTTAATCTTTTTAGATTCGAGCATGTAATTTACCTTAATTATACAAGCGATATTTAACCCTTCAATACTCTGGTGGGGTATATGAAACCCCAACCATGCTAGAAATGATATTACATAAAAACGGTTAAATTTTATGATCAAGATTCTTCAGTAGCTTCATCAAATCAAATATATCTTAGAATCTATATTCCAAATTTCATATATTTTGGTCGAGTAGTTTTTAAGATATAAGCATTTTGTGACTGATTGGGGTTTGTGAGACCCCACAGAGTAAGTTTGTATGTTCTATATTTCTTTTATATTTGAATGTATTAGTGTAATTTTTTTATATTGAAGAATAACAATCCAGAATTATCATGATTATATGATGGATAAGTTATTTTTTTAATCTTATATTTGAAATTTTAAAAAAGTAAGCTATTTTTAAAGGCACAAATTATAATTATCCTCATCATCTTTAATCTAAGCTTAAGAAATAAAAATATTTAAATATTTTTTCAAGAATAATGTTAAATCTATCTTTTATCCAAATATCAAATAAAAATAATGAATATTACTGGAGATATATACATTTGAAATTGGGGTCTATTAAACCCCACCCGAGTACCATTTTTATTCACCGAAGTATTGAAGGGTAAACTCGAATACCCATGGATAATTTTCACAGAATCAATTAGTTAAAATATAAAGTATCAAATTTAAAGAAACTCTTAGAAACTAAGAAGTTTAGAAGAGAGTCTGATACTATATTTATAATATTCATGTAAATAAAATCAAGGTCATCAGAGAAAAGGGAGTGGTTATTTATTGCCCCTAAGCAAGAAATAAAAATTACAGGAGCTGTTAGCATCTAAAGTAGTCAGAAAAAATGAACAAAATTATGATATAATTTTTAATATTATGATATAATTTTTAATATTATGATATAATTTTTAATATTGTGATTTATTTAAAAAAAAAGTATAATATTGCCTTTAAAGGATTATATATGCTTCAGCATTATTTATCAATGGGGTATGACAGCTCTTGCTAGACCTTATTCTCTATACTCAGGTGAGTTTTATAAAGTACCAGAAAAACAACAAAATATATAAATTCCTTTTTAAGTTCAAATTTTATTTATTCTAACTTAGAATTTTATATTTATTTGCATTATTTATTAAATATTATCACTTCTTCAAATTTAAAATTATAGTTATTTCACTCTTTTTAAAATAGTTATCATATATGTTATTATTATATTTTAAGAAACATATGTTTCAATAAATCATATGATTTCTCAATCAATAATAGAAGCATATGTTTTATTAGATCACATGATCTTATCTTAACCATTTTAATGTAGGATATTAGTTAGCTAATTATTACAGAACTTATTGATCTGGTAATAAATATGATTATTATATTATTTATACTAATATTATATATAAATAAGAAATAGGGTTGTTTATATTAATTATTAATCAATTTTAATGTGTGTGCTATTGTTTAAACTATTTCATTTTTAAACGTTTATTCTATTATAAAAGTGAAATTTTCTCTTTAAATTGAATTATTATTGTTCTGTTATTATAAATTGCTAGAGTATGAGCCCGTACATATATGGGCTTAGTCAAGTCCTACGAAAAAATTATAAAGGGTCAGGTTAGAGAATTAAATTTTATCAAGGTACATAAACTTTAATGAAGGTCTAGTAATTATTATTTTAATAAAACACAGTTTAACGTTATTCATATTTAATTGTTTATATTTATTTGTATACAAAAGTGTATTATTAAGATACATAATATTATTTGTCTAATTGTTCTCTGTGGTGATAGAATACATTTTAATCCTGAAAATTATCTTTCGACTATAATCTTTTTAGCTGGGGTATACATAGCTCAATTCAACTAAAGAATTTTTTTAAATTTTATTTTAAGGAATTTTTTAATGGACTGCTAAAAAATAATATTTCAATAAAGTTGGAAAAATTATAAGGGCTATAGGTTAATAAACAATTTTGTGATTATTCTTGATAATAATATTCATAAAAACATTAGGAATTTTAAAATTATATTGAAGTTCAAGTTCTGGTCAAAAATTAGAATTAAGGCCTAGATCTGACTAGGTTCAATAAAATATTTGACCAATCTGAGCTTGGTATATCAGACTAAGATTGGTTGTGCAGGGCTCTAATATGGCCAGGAATGTTGTGTGCCATAGGTGAATTTTCAACCTCATATATTTGGCAATAATATTAATAATTTGATAATATTTATTTATTCTTATAATATATTATAAGAAAATCAAGTAAATAATTTCCAGCTATTAATTTTTTTTATATTGTGATATTCAATCTAACAAAAAGGAAGAATAGGAAGGAAATATAACATAAATATTTTTTATTCTGTAATGGGCCTATATTTTATTGAGGGCTCACATTTTTAATTTCCTTTTTAAATAGTGTTTAAAATCACTAAATTTAAAAAGAAACCCATCTGTAGAATGATTAAAATTTCAAAAATCTGGGTCTGCCCAAAAAATAAAAAATCTTGAAAGTTGGGCCAAAAAATAATTTGAAAAAAGTAAACATCTGAACTTAGTTTAAAAATGGTAAAAGACATTTAATCCAGACTGGACCTAATAATTTGACCTCTGGAGATCTGATTATTATAGATCATTAAAAAATGGGATAATTGTGATATAATGCAGATACCATAAAATTTAATTACCTTTTTTTTACTTGTAAAAAATGCTTAATTTTTTATCAAATTTTTATAACTTAATCTCAAATTATATATGTGCATTTTTTGTGTATTATAGTAAATTGCTATTAAAATTGGCATGTAGTTTATATAATAAATAACTTAATTTTTATGTTCTTTAGAATATGTTGTTCTTGTAAATTATTAATATATACTGAGAATTCTATTATAAAAATATTTTTAAAAAAATGGGTTATTGTAAAAAACAATTGAAATTAAATATCTTGTTCAAAATTATAAGTAGGTTTTAGTTTTCACATGATATTTTAATACTGTTTCTCTTTCACTAAACGTGAAAAAAATAGCCAAAAAATTTTATATTGCATAAAAATGTTTTGGCTGACCTTGATTTAATATTTATTTATTATTTCACATATTCATTAATTATCACCTCTGGATTTCTTCCAATTAAGGTTATATTTTGTTAATCAAGTTCTTCTTAAAAGCATTAATTTAATTTTTATAAAATATATAATGTTATTGTCATGTGTGAAATCAGGCAACATGATCATATTGTCTGAAATTTATAGGATAGGTATTTTACCTATAATTATATTTTGGAAAAATTAAACCATCCATATATTTAAAATTTACCTAGTTTTACAACCCTTGGAAGGTTAGGTGGATAAAAATAACAAATTATTCAGTTAGACATGGCTCACCCCCTTTATAGTTATATTTCACTCAAATTTCTACATTATTCTGTGATATTTAGTAACATAGTTACTATGTTATTTAAAAATTTTAAAAAAATTCATTTAAAAAAGAAATTATATATATAAATGATTTTTTTTATATGATAAAAACTTTTAAGAACAATTTAGTATTTCAAATTAAGAAAAAATTGTAAATTTTTTTAAATTTAATTATGATCGGATTTGTATAAAAATTAAGTTTCGGCATTACTAAAAGTAACAACGGTAAAGACGTTACTATTTTTACAAAGTAACGCGAAATGTAAAAAGTTATTCTTAAATTAATTTTATATATGTCGTATGGGGATTCGGAATCTCTTGATTTTAAATCCTTTCCCGAGAGCGATTTAAAAAATTTTAAAATCCGATTTAACCGGATATATTCTAGCATGTGTAGAGTATTTACCCTATAAATTTCATCTAATTTTCCATGAACTTTAGAACTACTTCTAATTTAAATTAATTTTTATATGTATTTTTCATATAAATTAAATAATGTCTAAAAAAATTTAAATCGCCCTCGGTAAAGGATTTAAAATCAAGAGATTCCGAATTCCCACGGATTCCGAATCCCCACGGATTCCGAATCCCCATACGACTTATATATATATAACTAATTAAAATCTTTATTTCCAAATTCAATATTAAAAGATTACAATTAGATAATTTTTATTATTATAAATAAAATATAAATATCTAAAAATTATATCGGACCGGACCAAGGTCTCTAAAAAAATAGATCCAGAACGTGGCCCTATTTTTTGTTATTTTAAAAATATTTTCGTTTTTACATTTAATTATTGTTTACTGGAAGTATGAGTAAAATGCTTCTTTGACAAACTTATGGGATTCATATTGCAAAATAAAAATTCACAAAAACCAAAATAACTCTTCTAGAAAAATAACATAAAATAAAATATACAAAAAAATTATATTAATTGAATACTAAGGCAAACTTAAATATTAATAAAAGACCAGTCGACCGTAAAAAATAAAGAGATCGGTCTGGAATGTGGTCCTCAAAAAAAATGAATCCCGGTCTATGACCGATAGGACAGGACTGCTGACCTTCATTAATCCAAATTTTAAATTTTGAAAATTTAATATTTAATAAAATTTTTAAGAGAATTTTTGTAAATAGTCAAGAATATAGCAAAATTGCCTTAGATACTATATTTCACGATGAAAATATATTTAAACATGTATTAAAAACATTTTAAATTAATATTTAAATATTATTATAAAATTTTTTTTAAATAATGTTTTTTTTTAAAAATGATGAGAATTAAAAATGGAACTTATTCGTCCAAAAAAGCAATTAATATAAAATAGAAGGCTATTTTAGGGGGGATGGGGTAGTTATGATCATTTATATAAAATTGAAGGGTGAGGGGTAGTTTTATTTTTTTTTGCTTTTTATTTGGGTTTCCACTTTTCTGTTAATTTTGATTAAAATTTACTTTTTTTGCTAATGGTAGTAGGGGGATTTGGGGGGGGGGGGTAAATTTTTTGAAGAAGTATATGTAGGGGGGGGGGGTGGATTTGGTATATAAATAAAACTTATATGCAACATTTAGTGAAATGAGGTATTATAATTGAAAAGGGGTAGTTTTGATGTGGGGGGGGGGTGTATTATCATTGGTTAAGGGGAGATGTAGAAGTCATTGATTTATTATATCGAAAAAATAATTTTCAGAACTAAAGTGGCTTAAAAACATTTACAACAATAAAAATTTTATAATTTTATGCAAAATATAGTAAAATGGAGGCATAATAAAAGAAAAATAGGAAATTGGATATAATCATGTCAACCTAATACTAAAAATCGTCCTTCTTTATTTATCGGCTACAGAGGAATTATTACAAAAATTTTCGAATTATTTTTTTCAAAAAAGCTTCCTAAATCATTAATTCATAATATCACAAATACTATAATCAAATCAACGATCATTTATATAACCAAAAATCAATAAATATAATATAATATATCATTTTAATATTACAAATATACCAAAGAAAAATGTCGCTGCACTATTTTAAATCAATTATATTAAAAAAACATAGAATGGGTCCATTAATTCATCTATAAAGTTAAATTTGTTTGTCTGTTTTCTTTTCCAATTTTAGCTCAAATATAAATTTAGAGAATAATTATCAAATGTCAATATAATCTTTAAAGTAAAATATGGTATAAATAAATATCCTCTATATTTTCCAATTTTTCTTTAAGCTAACCAAACCAATTATATCCTTTTTCATTTCAACTTTCATTTTTTCTTTCCTCTTGCTACTTTTTTTCCGAGATGCAATTCCTATTTCCTTCATATCATAAATATAGGGAATAAATTTGGAATCTTACCAAAAAATATATATGAATTTGATTAAAAAATTGCACTTCCAATTTATATTATATGACCTAGAAAAAATATTATTCACGCGAATTTCATTAATGGATTATTATAAAAAGTAAAAACATAGGAAATAAAATAGTTAAAATTAAGAAAGCATTCATAATTTTTTTTAAATTAAAATTTTTAACCCAATTTCTAAAAATAAAAAATTAGTTATTGAATGTTAAAATAAAACAATACGTATAATCCTGACATATTTTTCAAGGAACCACAAACTTTTAAAACTGTATGGAAAACGACATATAGCTAGCTATACTGTCAAAAAAAATCTTGAAAAATTGAATGGTTAATGACGTAAATATAATAAGAACGAATTTTTAATTCCAAAATTATTGTGTTATTATTATAAATCAATTGTTTTTTCCCCATCCTTCATGTATACGATATTATTTTGAAAAATATGTAATCTGGCTCTTGCCTCAAACTACTCCATTTTCAGAAAGGTGGTGGTTAAGTATTTCCGAAGTCCAACCGCTTTGATGGATCGAACAGAGAAATTAAAAAAAAATCCAAGTAAAATTTTATCACTCAAATATCTGTGACTTTTATGACAGTTTTTTTACGGGTTTCTTAGGGTAATTAAAATATTATTAGTTAAGGATATACTCCTATTAATCGATGAAAATGAGATTAATGTTAAAACATAATAAAATGAATAGTAACGTTAAACATCCTTTTCTTCAGAAATGTGGTGGAGGGGAAGGGTGAATATCAAATTAATTTCAACAAAAAAAAATGAGAATTTTTGTAAATTTTAAGTAACCAAAAGTGCCATATTTTGTCTAGGGCGTAGCCAGAATTTTTCTAGGGGGTAGGGCAGTGAAAATTTTGGGTTTTTACCTTTTTTAATATACTCGGGCCGGGTCGAATTAAATCCAAATATTTTAAATCGCCATTATTAGCTATAAAAATTAACGGCCGAAAAATTAAAAACTTGCAAATGGTACCTCTGCAGGTCTCTGTCATATATAATCTCCATGTATCAGTAGAAACAAGAATTTGAATAAAATCCCCCCCTCCCCTTTCCCCACTAGCTACCCCTTATGTCTATATATAACTAATAAACGTACTACAATGAATGTATAAAAATAACTCTTATGTTCATCCCTAGGAAATTATATTATCGAATCCCCACTATATATCCATCAAAAAAATACTTTTAATGGATTTATAAAATGTAAATTTTTTTATAGGTTTTATATTTTACATGGCAAAATACAAATATGACGCTAAATAATATAATGGCGCAAGGATATCTAAGATGTGGGAATGGGGGAATAACCTCTTGGAAATATTTTATATTAAATTATATTTATACATCCTCTTACAATTTTTCCCTATCTATATTTATCATTTTTTTTTTGAAAAAATAATCATTTTAACGTAAAACGAATTTTAAATATCAAAATAAAATCATCATCCTATTAACGATATAAACAATCAATATAAAATTATAAGTCTGACCATATGATATCAATTTAATAAATAGCATTTAAATATCGATGCTAGTCTCATCAATTAGCGACAAAATTATGGTCAACCATATGATTAAAAAGCAACTGAAAGCATTTGTTCTGAAAATTATTTAAATGATAGGCTGTATAACTGGTTTGTTGTATTCTTGAAACTAATTTAAGTTCATAAACAGGCTTTGAGGCATATTTCGTTTTTTTAGGTGTGTACACTAAATAAATATTATTTTTTATTAATATATTTTTTCGGTACTGATAAATTCTCTTTTACGTAAATTTAAATAGCCCTTTTCTTTGACTGTATAATTTAATAGCGGTAGCATAAAAAAATGTTGCTTTCACACTTGGAAATAGAAAAGATAAAACGCCGATCCCATACCAATTATCCACTTTTGGGAAGCGTCACGTTTTTCGATTTTTTAAATATAATTTGTAGCAAAATTTTTTCTTGTAAATGCTTGATTATAAATTATGTTTATAGATATGTTAATTCGTAGATTTTTGCACTATCTTTTTTTTAATTGGGAAATGAAATATTGGAGATTTTATAATTAGAAAATTAAGGGAGTGGTTCTTATCATTTTAAAAGAAATGAGAGCAAGATTTCATTTAGATATCTCTATAAAAAGTATGAAAACACAAAATTTACCTAATCGTAATTAATATCTAGTGCCAAAACAGTCAGTTTTTATTATGTCCTTTTGCCATATTTTATCGGGATCATACATCATACTAATTTATTTTATAATCTTGGCTGATAAGTTATTTTATTTAGTTTCTAATTATACTAACTTGTTATTTAAAATAATAGAATTTTTTGTCAAATCAGATCATTTTAAAAATCTGACAATTTTAGTTTTAATTTTTAAGTAGCATTCATTCATTTACGAATTAAAATATAATATTAATTTTTATTTAAAAAAATCTAATCATTTGTTATACAGTTATTAATTATTTTAAATTAATTATGAATATTTATTTATGACCACATTTCATGTATGTATTATGATGAACAAATGCTATTAATAAATGCTAGTGGTAAAGACTGCGATATATCTCAACACAACAATGGGTCTATGACGAAATTTGAACAGGGCTTTTGTTTCAGCTTAGAAAATTTGTCGTTAGAATCTACTACTGATATTAGCAATGGTTTCGAACATGTTTCAAAAAGATCTCCTAGCTTAGAGACCGATTTATCTCTTTTCCACGAATACAACACCAATCATCATTATTGCCGTCAAAGTAATTTAGCGCCCAAACCAAAAAGCATATTAAAAAATAAATGCTCAGGGAGTTTCTACAATTCCAGCAAATGTTGTGGCAACTCGCAAAAATCCATCAAAATTCAACAATCCGAGCCAATAATCAAAAGCATATTAAAAAATAAAACGGGTGATGTGATGGGAAGACAGCAGATGTTAGCACGTGATGGACATGGTCTAACTCGTCATAAAAATCAAAGTGACGAAAATGTACCGTACAGTAATCTCAGCTCTGATATTTCAACTTATTCGAACATGGCTTCTCCTAGAAAAGGAATACTAAAATCAAATATAAACTATCTCAATAGCCCCGACTTAAAGCACAGTCAAAGCGTACCCAAATCTTTATCTTATAAACTTTTTCAAGATCATCATTATGGAATTCTCAAAAACTCGAAACTAAAAAACACCCCTTCAAATCAAACCGAGACGACATCTATATTAAAACAACACAAATTAGCATTCAATGATAGGGATAAAGAAGATAGAGGGCCTAAATATGATGCAGAAGTGCTGGATAGGAGATTTTCCAATCCTGAATACACGGCCAATATTGAAAATAATTATTGCATACCTGGATACGAAAAACAGACTAATCCTAAAAGTATACTAAAAAAGAACTCTTTACCAACCAATTATTACAAAACGCCAGCATATAAAATGATATCCATGCGACAAATACATTCTTACGACGATCAAGAGTCGAACTGTTCGTCAAGCAATTCGATAACCAACAACCTCTCCATTAGAAGTATTTTAAAACAAAAGAAATCATAACGTTAAACTGTCATTTATTATTATTTTTTTATATCAATTTTAACAGTACTTATATTAATAATATATGGATTATTTTTAACATTAATTTACAGTGTAATAGCAAATAAAATATATGCACATATTTAATAAATATTTATACATAATTCGCACGCCATTTTTATGTTAAGACAGGATTTCAGCGACTTTGCAGAAAGGAAAGTAAGTGTGCTCCCGTTTTCAAAATGACTCATATTATAGTGTAAAGTTTTTAATCAAAAAATTTCTTCGTTTTATTATAAATAAAATTTCTTTGTTTATTTTACAAAAAAAACAATTTTTTTTTAAAAGTGTTAAAAAAACCTAACTTAGTTGCAGGATAAAAAAATAAGTTAGGATTAGGATTAATATTATGTAAGAATGTTCTAAGCCCGACATTTCTATTGGTTAGCTTTTAATATTACTTTTTTTTGGAAAATATATACATTTAAAAATATAAATTATTTTTGAGAGGTAAAGCCAGGATATCAAACTGAATCTAGACCTACATTATAATTTACCGAATTGTCACATTATCCTGGAACGAGTAAGGGAAATAAATTTAAATATTTTTGAATAAATGAAGACCATTTTTTAATATCTTTCTTTTCTAATATTTTAAATAGGGCTGTGCCGGTCCACATATTTTTCACGGATCCGATACCGATCCGATATTTATATTGATTTTTCACCACGCCTATTTGAACGAAATGTAATTAAGAAATCAATATTTTTTATGCAAAAAATCGAATTATGCATTTAATTTTTTTTTTAATAGTTTAAAATTCAATTTTTTTATTAAAATTTATATAGAAATATGATAAAATATTATTATTTAAAAATTAACTAGAGAATATAATAAAATATGTCATATATAAGTTTAAGTTAAAAAAACAAAAGAAGAATGATACAAATATATATTTTTATAAAAAGAAAAATAACATTTAAAAAAAATAAATAAAAATATCAAATGGCGAGGTTGGGCCAAAATATTTGATAATTAGATCTAATTATAGACACAGCGATTTTCTGCTTGAGTTTGTAAAAGGAGAAAGGTATGATTTTTTTATTAATTTGGATATTGTTTTGAATAGATCTAAAGCCGCTTGTTCAAAAGAGCAGGTTGATGTGGCTGCTATAGGAACAAAGTGGTTATCACACCCTTAACAGAGCCGAATCTCTAAAAAATATAAAATACTCACACCTAATTTAAAAATATTTAAAATAAATAAAACTTTGGGTGTTCTTTTCTATTTTTATTAAAAAACTTTTAAAATACTATAAATCTATTTTAAAAAATAAATAAAATTTAAGGGGTGTTGTGCAGTTACATTGTTTAAAAAAAATATATTTAGAAAATAATATTAATGTAAAATAAATATACATACATAAAATAACAAAAAAAGAAAAGTAATAAAATCTTTTTCTATTATGATGCATAATATAAACGAAGTCGTCTTTTTGCAGATATCGGCCCGATCCGATATTTTTAAGAAAACGTTAAATATCGGTACTGATCCGATATTTAATATCGCCACATCCCTAATTTTAAATCAATGGTAATAATAACTTAAACTAAATTTTCAACAAATTAAATTTATTTTTTCCCCTAAAATTGGAAATGCTATAAAAAAAATAATGTTTAAGTAAATATCTTAATTCTATAGTACGAACGTGTTGGACTGGTAACATTTTATATACATTTTTGCATATTTTGTTAATATTTGGACAGCAGAACAGATAATGTGGTTGAAAATCAAAAGAAATTTATCAAATCGTACAATATATTGGGGGGGGGGGGGTGCTACTTATTATAGGATTTATCACTTATTATATGATGCTAAACATACCACTATAATCAACACCCTATAATCAACATTTGATAATATTTTTTATAGCTATAGCAGGACTCCAAACTAACGAATATCTTTCCGATCAAAATAACAGTTCAGGTTCGGTTGGTAAATAATATCAGCTTTCGGTTTGAACCTTTAAAAACTGGTTCAAATCTTTTCTTATACAAGCGTATTAGAAAGAATTATATAAAGAACCTTTTTTTAAATTTTATTACTATTCTCTAAAAAATAATATTGAGGCAATACAATTAAAATATTTTTAAGATTCTCTTCTGTCAAATTATATCTATAAGAGGGAAAATATTTTTATGACTGAGAACACTTCTTTAGTGCTAACTTGGGTGTTTGGCACCGTCAAATAGATATATATAAAAACATCTAAATATAATTACTTATACAGTCAAAACTGATTATTAATCACCTTTAAAAGGGTTAAAATATCAAAAGGTTCAAACCAGTTCGCAGGCATTTTTTGTAGGTTGGGTTCAGATTCGGGTGACAACTTTTAAAGTTTCAGGTTCGGTAAATAATAATGGTAATACCGGTTCGGTTTGAATCCCTAATTTACAGTTTGAACCATGGTTATCAAGCTTAAAACACTTTTTTTTTCTCACTCTCATTGAATAGATTGATTACAAGGTTCTATGTTTATTTTTCTAAATAGTATATAATAATATTCTAATTAATGGATTTGGCATATATAACTATATTTTAAAAAAATTTCTAGCTTTCATCAGATCATAGTTTTTTTTTAAAAAACGCTTTCCTCTTGAGTGGAGTTAGAACTTAATACGAATAATAATACTTTTGGATTAAGCTGTGCCGATGTTTTAAAAAAATCGAAATGAGTCAATATTTTCAAAAAACCCATAATATTTTTGTGATATCATATATAGTTGCTGGCTAGATTATTACAAATGGCGGTGAATCGTAAGTGGTAGAGAATAACAAATGTCGATGTTCCCAAAAGGCCTAAAACAAAAATAGTGAATATTAAATGGCCAAATGAGTCACAATTGGTTGGGAATATTAAAAGAATATGAATTATAATTAGTGAAAAAAATCACTAAATTTTGGTAAAAATATATTTATAAGCGATTTTTGGTATAATATGGGATATTAAAATTGCTTGGATATAATAATAAATATGTTAAAAAAATAGTACAAAAACTCCTAAGAAGAATAGTGTGGTGTAGAAGAATTATATTTAAAAAAATCAAAATGATCATTGCGATTCTAACCCATAACCATCGGATTGGTAAGCGATGCTCTTGCCGACTAGGCCACAGAGGCTTTCCAAAAATTAATATATTATAACGAAATCACGTGGTCGAGAAATTAAGAAAATAAAATGATCATTGCTGGGATTCGAACTCAAATATATATAAAAATAAATTTGGTAGTGCCTATCCAAATGAAAAATAAACAAAATACAAATTTGATAGGTATTACCTTAAGGTAGTGACTATCATTAACCTACAATATAATATCATGAGTAAAAATATAATTCTATAATTTTAGTTAATAATTTTTAACATACATATTTTTTACCATTTTTAATTTACAGACATGATATTAATATCTCTGACTTCTTTTTTCCTATTATTTTTATTCTTGATCACTTTATTATATATAGAATAGGATATGGCTTTGAATCAAAATAATATTATTTTTTAATTATCTAAATTTCCAATTAACAATAAAGTTCTTTTAAGCAGGGCTGTGAATCCCAACCCGGACCCTTCGAACCCTGATATTTTACTGAACCAGAACCTTGTTTTTTAAATATAGGGTTTAGGGTTCAAGAATTTTTATTTTTTACTTTAAATTATAAAAAATTTGAACAGTATAAAAAAATATATATTAAAACTTTTTTGTAAAAATTATTTTTCATGGAATCGTTTTTTTATAAATATATCTATATGTAAATTAAAAAAATGTCTGGACACACCCTTAACCTGATTCACAGAGTTTTCACTGAACCTAAACCCGAATTTAAACCCTTTTATTGGAAGGTGGGTTTAAGCCCTGCTTTAAGTAGGTGAACCCTTGCAGTTAAAAAAGAATTTTTTAAAACCAAACAAATACTTATGTCTCTGCTGCTTTGCTCATTTTTCAAAAGAATCTTTTTATCCAACATCTATAAATTATCATAATCTTGGTAATTTTAATTTATCAATTAAATAAATGTTTTATCAGGATTTTTAAATTGTTCCATTACCAATAAATTTGCAAGCAAAATCTAAATAACCTATATATGTAGCAATTTCCATGGAGATAGGTCTATAAGAAAGCATATCCACTGGGATGGTAAGCAATACCAAGGGTTTGAAAACATTAAAAAAAATTAAATAATGTTTTTGATGAAAGTGGACTTTTATTTACTTTTTATCTGTCCTACTTTTATCCACAAGTATTATTATTTTAAAATAATGTCATAAGAAATACTTTTATTGATTCAAAATACAATGCTATATTCAAGTCTATGACAATATTAAAGTATAATTGTATATATATATTATTTTTTTCTTTCATTAAATTTAAATGAGTTTAGGCATTAATAAATGATTCGGATGATTTTTATGATATTGATTATTATTTAATTAGAAATAACGGGGGGGGGGGCGTATATACCCTTCTAGTATCACAAGACGTCAAATAACATATTCTTGTTTTCAAACACTTGAATTAAAAATTTAATAAAATATAAAAAGTTTGCCCTTATGTTAGAGAATTTTATGTATTTTCTAATATAATTGGTTTCTAGATTTAACACAATATATGCTAGATCAGGAATTAGGACCCCTTTGTCATTTCAAATATTAATTAATCTCATAGTCCATAGTATTGTTAATTGACTAAATTTAGTCGACTAAAAGGCAACTAACTATTAGTCATAGTCAAAAAATTTGATTAAAAACTTTGGCAACAAAAATTATTAATTTTATTATATTTATTTTATTAAAGTTTTTGCAAACATAAAAAATCTACCTAATTTTCTATTAATAAAATAATAATTCTAATAAATATTAGATTTGGTGCCAGCCAGACACTAAAAATAAACAAATTTAATATTCAAATAAATAACTAAATAAGAAATATAATAGCCATAAAATTATAAGCAAATCCCCAAAATTAGCCAACTTGACTAATTTACTAAAGTTTTTAGTCGTTTTCCTCAACTACCACTGGTGGTCAGAAGGAGGTAACACCAAGGAAGTTATAAATCTTAACATTATTAATAAAATGGGTAAGGATCAGGTAGATTTGATAATAAAGATTTTAAATAAAGGGGAAGGAAGTTATAAATCTTAACATTATTAATAAAATGGGTAAGGATCAGGTAGATTTGATAATAAAGATTTTAAATAAAGGGGACAATTATTTTTTAATAATTTTACCTTACCTTATATTAGCAATTTAAAATTTACTGTCAAACAGTTTTTCATATTTAAAAGTTATAAAAAAATACTTTTATATTAAATGTAGAAATAGGAGAGCAACCCTGGGGTAATACAATAAGGATATTTTAGAACCACCAAATTTTCTCATGCATTTAAAAAATTTTTTATTTAGTCATTTATTACAAGAGAAAATATCAGATAGGTAAAAAATTTACTGATCAGCATAGCCCAGATAGTATATAATAAATAAAATGTTTCATTTCAGAAATATGCAACATAACATGTAATTCATATCTAGAAATAAAAATTTTGAGAAATTTTGAAAAAAATTCTATTCACATAATTGTGTGATCTTGCAACAATTATTAGATATCTATATAATAAATCAGATAATTGTTGTATTTAATCTAAAATAAACATACAAATTCATTTTCCTATTAAAATTATTTGTTGAAATTCGAATTTGTTAACCATAATGAAGGTGATTGTTTTGATATAGAACGTGATGGAGCAAACCCTAGCATTTTCTGTACATTCTGTATTTATAAATGTAGAAATGAGTAAAAATTTAAATGTAAACTTGTCTAATGGACATTGTACACAAAATATATAGGAAAATAAAAGAACAATCAGTATAATCAGCTCCAGCTAAATTCCGATGTGACAAACCTCTGAACCAATTTATTGGCTCAAATGGAAGTTTTGCAACTACACGACCTTCAAAACTATATTAAATAAAAATTTTATTTTATATTAAACTTAATATTATTTAAAAATTTTGGGTTAAGAATAAAATTTACATAGAATTGAACATGCTAAGTAGGGCTGTAAAAGCAAATCCAATAGCAAACATTGATTTCATCTTTACCTAAATGTATATAAGATAAAAAGTTATTATAAATAATTTACTAAAGTCAAATCCCGATTATTGACTTTTAATTTTCCTTCCTGTTTTTCTTTATATTTTAATGTATAAAGTTGAATATAAATAAATTACCTAATTTTTTTCTATGAGACTTATCTAGTGCATCAGAATTTATTTCTTTTTGTTTCTCCACTAAAACAATTTAAAAGCAATATAATATGCCAAGATTAAATGAGTTATAAATGTGTACGTCTCAGAATAGGCAGCAAATTTTTAATGCACAATCATCTTAAGGTTAAACTTTAAATTAAATTATCAAAAAAAATATTTTAAAGATGGGTCAATTTTAACAAATAAAATCAGCCAATATTTTGGATCAATTTTTTGCAAATTTTTGATTGGCAATGCTAAGATAAACATGTATATAACCAGGTTATTTTAATACCGGTATAGTTTTATATATATTTAATTTATTATTACATTTACGACTTTGACGATCAACTTCAGCTTTTAATTTTTTATATTTCTCAGTTTTATAAACAAGGAAATATGTTAATCCTAACTAAGTTTATAGCATATATAATAATTGGACACAAACCTTCACCCAAAAAAGCTGTACATATGGATATGAAGAATATTAAAAGCGTATCAACTAACATTTTAAATCTATCATATAGGAGTTTTATTAAAATCAGATAAATGACAGCTATTGCCTGAATAATTAACTTTGAGATGTTATGAGATGTTTGTCAGGCATCAAATATTGACATAATTGGTAAGAAATCATATATATCTTAGATGAGGTTTAGTAGCATCACTAGGAGTGGGTACGCAGGGGCTCGAGTCCCCTGAATAATTTGAAGAGCCTCCTCAAAATTAAATTTTTTATATATACCAAATGTAATTTTGATAATGTTAACTAAATAGAAAATGTTAGCTAAAAAAAGTATTTTAATATTTTAATTTTTTTTTGACGTCCTTGGTGGCATTTATCTACCATTTTAAATTTCTAAATAATCTGAAACTTTTTCACTGCTAAACTCAACTAAAATATTTCAAAATAATCAAGGCAACCCTATCGTTCCAGTTTTAATAAAGGGCGAATCAAGGAATACCATAAAATAAATCTTTATTTCCCTCTTAAATACTTTTTTAACTCAAATGAATGAAAGGTTCTTAATTAATCAGGTAGCAATTATAATCTGCAAATATTATTATCACAATCCTTCCGAATCTTTATCAAATTTTTTTAAAGAAAAAATTAAATATCTATTTTTATTGTGAGAATGTTAAAATATCTACTGATGCATTACTAGCTGAATGCCTATGGAATAATAGGCATGGTTGCCAGGTCAAAATTTTCAAATTGCGGGAGAAATTTGGTATTATGCGGGAGAAATATAAAAATTGCGGTAGAAATATGAAAATTGCTAAAAAAAAAATTTTGCGGGCGCCTATTATTTTTTATTTAGTTTATATAAATACAAAGTCGGTAACTATTTTTCGAAATAAAATAACATCTTGATTTATTAAAATATATTATTTTATAAAAAAAAACAACGATCTTTTTTAAATATAAAAGAATGTAAACAAGATAAAATTTTATAATAAAAAACGATTTTAATTTTAAAATTAAAAATATATTTTATGCGCAAAACGATCGCAATTGGAAATCTACAGTGTGTGTGTATAACATTATAGGGATAGGCGCTTAATTATCACGTATCACGTTTAAATACATAATAAATTACTCTAAAAATAAGAAATAATACAGATGAAACTACAGTAACGGCAATTGTAATCATTTATCTTGTAGTACAACAGTCACAGAGATACTTATCATCACAATGTTGGTTGAATCTTTTTCCCATAATATTTAACGACTATAATATAAATGCAAACTATACTTGTAGAACAAAAATGAGCAAGACTATCATTAATGTTTTAAGACCTAAATCCAGGAGGTCAATTCTTGACGATTTGAAAAATGGGCATACATATGCAATTCTAACAGATGCATCAAATAAGGGAAATATTAAAATATTTACCTTGATCCTCCGCCATTTCATTAAAATTAAGGTCGTTTGAATAAAACTAATTTTTTCCCCTCGAATAGCGAAAAATGCAAAGACATAGCTAACCATATAATGGTAAATATAGCAGATTCGAGATTATCATAAATTGCATGTCAGCTTTCTTCTGATAATGCCTCAGTGAATTTGGTAAAAACAGAGTGTAGTTACTGAAATGAGTCAGCACAATGTTGGTTGCGATATGTTACTATTACCCGCCATCGGAATTTTTAAATTTTATAAACCTTTAAAAAAATATTTCTTAAATAAAGATTATAAAAGCTGTCATAATATTTTGAAATTATTTTTCAATAATGAATGGCAGAGGTATATTTAGGAATAATTTCACATGTAGGAAATTACTACATGCTGTTAATGTGTAGTTGCAATCAGAAGAATCTTAACAAAGATTCACAAAATTATGCTGCAGATGTATTCATCTTTACAGTTAAAAATTGACAATAAATTTTATGGCGCCATTGCTAAAACTTAATTATATTTTATTTGAGATTTAAATAATAGAACTAAATGTTTACCATCGTTATTGAGATATTTATAAAATTCCTGGCATCACATATTATATATTTGTTTAATCATTAACTCGGTCTCTAATATTGTTAAAGCAAGCCTATTTCTCTCATTTTTCCAGGCAGTCCTCATCAAGCTAAAAATGCGCTCGGATGAGGCTTTAAAATGAGGTAAGGAGAAGACATACTCGCTTATTTTTCCCAAGCATGGAGATTAATCGTTATTATGAAAAATTTCTACCCATTTCTCCTCTGCTTTTAGATCATCTAACTTTAAGTATTTTGGCGTATCATAAAAAATAGAGAGAATTACAATCTCCTCAAACAAGAAATCAATGTCTTTCGGTATTTTTAATATATTTATTAATTATAAAAATCATCAATTGATGGTTTCTGTTCCAAGGTCATAATATTTATACATTTGTAAATAGAGTTATTAAAATCAAATTTTGATTGTAAATATTCTAAAATTGTTTTAATAAAAATATCTGCTTCATTTAAAAATGTATTAATTAGAGTATTATTTGAACATCTTAATTTAATATTTTTAACAATAGCGCCATAAAATTAAATATCAATTTTTAACTGTAGAGATGAACAGAGCTGTAGCATGATTTTATGAATCTTTTTTATAAAGAATATTCTGATTGTAACTGAATATTAACTGCAAGAAGTATATTTCCTACATGTGAAACGAATCCCAAATATGCCTCTGCCATTTCATACTCGAAAATATTTTTCAAAATTTTAGGACAGTTTTTAAAATCTTTATTTAAGAAAAGTATTTTTTTGAGGGTTTGTTAAATTTTAAAATTCTATCGATGGCAGGTATTAATGACAACCACCTGATAGGTATATATCCCAACAACTCACACCATTCCAAGTCAGACCATTTCTTCAACTCTTTTAATTTATTAAGTCTTTTAGTTGATGACTAAATTCGTTAAAACATTTCATCACAATTAATTCCACATCCACCGATAGTACATTTATTGCCTTCTTGCAAGAATTATGTAGTATATAGCATATACAGCCAATTGGTATTAATTCATTATTGTGCGCCTCAATTTGGTAACTTTGGTTTTTGCCAAAATTTACAGAGACATTATCAGAGCAGAAAGCTGACATGCAAATCATACCCTGAATCAGCTATATTTACCATTATGTGGCTAGCTACATCGTTGGATTTTTCACTATCCGAGGAAAAAATTTTAACAGTTTTATGGAAATGTTCTTATTCTTGTTGAAATAGCGAAGGATCAAGGGAAATATTTTAATATTTCCCTTATTAGATGCATCTGTTAGAATTGAATATGGATGTCCATCTTTCAAATCGTCTAGAATTGACCTCTAGGATTCAGGTACTAAAACACTTGTGATAGCCTTGCCCATTTTTGTTCTGTCACAAGTAAGGTTTGCACTTATATTGGAGTCGTTAAATATATGAGAAAAAGATTCGACCCACATTGTGATTATATAGCTCTGTGAATGTTGAACTACATGATAGATGTATACGATTTCTGCAAATGTATTTGCATCTTTATTATTTATTATTTGAGAATATTTTTGTATTGCAATCGATGTTGATATACTCCCCTATACTGACTTATATGAATGAAATGATGTTGATTTATTATTGGATAAAAATAAAACAGGATAGAAAGAAATTTACAAACTAGACGTGTTTTCGAATAAATATTTAAAATTATTTTAAAAATCATGTTTCTCAAAATTATTATTTATATATTAAAAATGTTAAAAAATTATTTTAAAAAAATGCGGGAGAAATTAAAAAATTGCGGGAGATTTCCAATTGCGATAGTTTTGCGGGAGAGAGATGTCTGCATGTACTCACCTGAAAAATAATATTTTTAAATGACTCGATTTGAGATTTTTTAAATTTACCTTCATCTCTAAGACTTTCAACATTAGTAAATATAGTTGGAAGCTTTGCCGAACGAAAACTTATTAAAACCGATTAAGAATTAGGAGTGATCTTAGGGTATAAACTAACCACATTATTGCATGAACTAGAATCTTTTATAAATGTAAAGGAAAACACTCCCCAAATTGCATCAAAAGTCAAAAACGGTAGCAATGCCACTCTTGAACAAATAGGCCTTCTCGTAAAGCTCCCATTTTCCAAATTTTAGAATTTGAATTGTTTTTGACACCTATCGCTTAGGTCACGAGGAAATCTATAACTTTAAAAGGCATGCGTCCTATCCTTCACAATCAATATTAGCTTATCAGGGGTGTCGTTAACCTTTACAATCTCAAGGGGCTCAACTTAAAAAATTTTTATGGTGTGACCCTGTACTCCTTAATTTGCAGGCCTTCGGCCCGCTTTTGCCCAGTCTTCGGCCGGATTGACGCTTATGACTGACGTGCATATAATAAATATTATATTTTTAGTGATATTGACGTTTATGACTGACATATAAATATTAAATATAATAAATTTAGTGATATTGGCATTTATAACTGACGTATGAATAATAAATATTATTTTTTCTATATCCTATGATATTTAAGGTAATTTTGCCATATAATTTTTAGATGTAATATTAACTGTTAAAAATTTATATATTTATTTAAGGTTTAATTCAAAAATATTAAAGATTAACATATAAATCTTGCACTATCTATTAACACGTTACTACTCAAAGTTAGAAACAATTTTCAGAATAATTTATTAAAGTCCTTTATTTAATTTGTAAATATAAAGATCAAAAAAATCAATTAATAATATATGCGATATAAATAATATATGCTATATGCGATATAAATAATATATGGTATATGCGATATAAATAATATATGCGATATAAATATTAATTAAAATTAATTATGTGATCAATGAGGAGCCCTTCACACGTTTGTGGGCAAGCCGCACGTACTTGTACGCACAACAGTTCGAAAATTGTTATTTAAACGTCTATAGGCTAATAACAAAAGTTGGACAAAACAAAAGCCTATACCCGAGAATTACAAGTTAATTTAATTTTTTAAGGGTGGGAGGTGGCTGATTTTAAGCTTAAAATCTACTATCGATATTTAGATTAATGTTTTCATATCAATTGCAAAATAACCTAAAAGAGAAAAAGAAATTAAGTATATATTATTTAACTTCTTGTGAATATTTCAATTTGGTTAATATGGTTATAATTGCATAATGTAATGTTAAAATACCTAATTATAAAACAATATATATAGAATAAAAAAAACTTGATAAAAAGATCTTAATAATATTTTAAATCTTTAATAAAAAGTCTTAATGAACAAATCTTAATAATATTTGGAGTCTTTAAAATTCAAACTTTTATTTTTTTAAAATCAAA